AAAAAAACTAGTAAATCCATCCATGCTCCATGACGACTCAAACGTCATCAGACGTTTGTCATTTGAACTGACCAACCCCTGCATCGTTTTTTTGGGTGACGTTATTCTAAAGTCCAGGGTCCGTGGTCACACCATCAATATTTTCCTCATTATCTCAAGGTCATGTAGGCATTATACAAAACATTGCGTGGGCCACCAAAAATTGACGGAAATGGTGTATAATGTGACGTCAATGTCGGTTAATCCACCGCGTGACCTTGAGACATCGACCGAAATATTTTTAATGTGACCACAGCATATTTTGATCAGCATTTTTGACGGAATTTGGAACTAGAATACCTCCACTGCAGCAATGCATTGTGGGGGAATACTCGTAAGACCCTCGCACACGGTGAAATTGCGAGCAAAGTGAAAAGTCCCCGATGACCCGAAATCACATCACTGGCCAGTGAAGTGTGATAAATGACATCTGAATTTGTTCGTATTGGAATCGTGTGATGATAAAACCAAGAGTTCCTCATGAATTTCAAGACGGACAATTGGACGTATTTATGCCAAACTGAACTATGTGCATTATAACGTGAGCCCTGCTATGCATACATTCTCATGGGTCTCAAGGCTCATGCCTACATGCACATAGCTCCGTTTGGCAGAAATACGTCCAATTGTTTCTCCTTGCCCGAAAAGGTCGGTGGCCGTAGAGGTTCACTTGGACTCGGAGCAACCATGATAACTTCCAGGAGATCAAATTGCATACTCAACGAGATGAAGGAGCTTAGAATGGTTGCGATGAGTTGAAGTTAAAGTAAGGGCGCCTTACGGCTTGTCCCCGGCTTGTACAACCTTGTTCGGAAATCCTCTATTATCTCTATACATTATTTGCGGTCAAAAATTTCACTGAAATAACACGTAACAGTGGAGGCGCCCGACTCGAGGGCCTCAGTCGTCGAAAACTAATTAACTCTTAGATTACAGAGTCTTATCTTAATATTAAAAAAAACAATTCTGGGGCCCTCTTTCCCGGGGCCCCCGAGGAAGAGGGCCCCAAATTTTTTTTTTTTTAATTCTCTTTCTTTGCCGTCGTCCTCGGGGCCCCCGAGGCTGAGGGCCTCAGAATTGTTTTTATTAATTTTAAGACTCTGTAATCTAAGGGTTAATTAGTTTTCGACGACTGGGGCCCTCGAGTCGGGCGCCTCCACTGTTACGAGTTATTTCAGTGAAATTTTTTGACGTAAAATAAAACTTACGTGCTCTCAAAATTCCGTTTTAGGTCGAATATTGTATCAATCCAAACCTCTAAAAGTAAACAATTGTACAAACGTCCGGGAGGATAAGATTGCATTCTCGGGATACAAAAGATCCAAAAATTTTCCGGGGGGCGACCCCCTCTCTTTCCTGGGGGGTCTCCCCCCACCCTCTCACCCCCGTGGGGGACCTCACGATGTGTCGCCGCGGCCTAACTTTTTTCACGCCAGTCCGAGCCTGAATATTTCCCCTCTTAGTCTATAAGAACTACCCATTTTAACCAACAGGATCGCTCCATACTCTCTATGTATTATTTGTCCATCGCTTTGTACATCAATTTCAAAAATCAGCCCGCTGAAAACCCAAAAATTCACGTGTTACACCTGTTGGCGAAAAACGAAACGCTTTCTTCCTCAGCGTCGGTATGCATAAGGCGAGGGGAGGAGGAGGGGCGTGATTCGGCTGCCGGCTTTAATTTGAGTCAATTAGCTAATTAAATTGGCCTGTTATGCAACAGGTCGACAGGGGGAGGGTGGCAGGGAGGGTGAGGGGGAGGCGGGGGCGCGAAATGGAGGAGGACGCTGAGCCCGCCGTCGGAACTAGAGGTGATCGCCGTGAGAGCCCAAGCGATAATGATGTACTGGCTCCCGCGGTTGTCGACTCTCCACGAATATCATTACGAGCCTTTCCTGTCAACATAAAAAATATAGATGCTTAAAGAGTGGCTCGCAAGGAGTGTTCGAAACTCACAGGCGCCAACGCGCCAAATGCGCCTAAAAGTTCGGCCATGGCGCCTAAAAACTGAAGGCTCTGCGCCAACGTGGCCCCTAAAAATCACCCCCTAAATATCTGAATTTTAATATTGGGCGATTATTCGAAATTTTTAGTACTACAAGTGAAAGCTCTTTCTATTCTTCACGATTTCATCCTCAGTGCTTTTGTCTTCCCCAAGTTACAGCTACTTACTAGTTCTATTACGGAAACATCTTGCGTTTAATTATCCACTAAATGTGCCGTATTATATAGGCAAAAAGTCAATTTGGCCCCTAAAAAATCGTCGGTGGCGCCTGAAAATCGGGCTTGATGCGCCACATGGCTCCTAAAACTCTAAGGTGAGTTTTGAACACTGCTCGCAAGGCATGATAAATACCAACCCCTCGATAGAATTCAGCATTTTGCAAATAATTTTGACGTACTATGGATAAAAAAGTCACGGGCTATACATATAGCCATACCGTCCGTTCCGTGCTCAAAGGCTGGGAAGTTCCGGGTGCTGGAGCCGTAGCTTAGATTACTCCGTGTGCCACGCCCAGAAGGCGGGCGGCATGTCTGTACCCCTAAGTACGGCTTCCACGGCCGGAGTTTTTTTTCTTTTTTTTTTCGTGTATTCATCTCGGAAAAAACGAGTTAAGTTCTAGGACACAGAAGCGTAAACACAGTTTAGGTATGGGAACCATCCAGGTTTGGGACATAGATATTTGTGTTGTACATCATACTACCACTAAGTGTGGAATCCGGTGAGGTGAGGCTAAAGGACACTTTCTGCATCCCATACCTACAAAGGTTTAGCTGAACTATGAAATTTGAATTGAATGGTTTGAATGTTCTATGGTTACGCTGCATTCTCGTTTATGAGATGGTTTTAGAAAAGCGACACACTGGTCTAGTATGCTTTTTTGGCTACTGCTAGGAGGCTGGGAGTTGTGGAGTCATACGGCATGATTTTAAATCGCTGATCAATGAAAATGTCGGTATCGGTTTGAACCAACATTCACCGCTCGTGTCATGGACTTATTCACTAAGGCTTAAAAAGTTACTCAGTCGGTGAAAGAAAATATCTGGGATATCAGGGTAATTTAAAAGAATAAATGTGATCCGTGCTTTTTATGGCGAAGTCTCTCAGTTTAATGATCACCCCGTCCGAAGGGAACCATTGAGCTTTTCGTTTTTGCAGCATAAGTTCCATCTCTACCCAATTTTTCATTCAATGTTTTTTTAAAAAATTGGTTTGAAAAACTATTGGGCCTCGAGGCAGCGTAAAAACAAAAGCACTGTTGTTGTTTTTTCTCTCAAATATTCTACGTAGAGAACGATTTATGCAACAAGAAATCTTGAACCCAATGTCTGAAAAAGATAGGAGTATTTACAATCAACATTGGCCAAATGGCAAAAAAACAAACGACATCATTAAATGATGTCCATCCACAAATTTTGTATAACCTAACTTTTATTTGAGGGGCTTGGAAAACAAGGCGCGTAAGTGCAGTTTTTGAAAAAATTGAGGTGTTAATGATTTCAAGCAAAAGTAGTCTTAATGCATATACTGTGAAAAATTTGCTCCCGAATTCCAATTTTGAAGCATCAAAAAGTCAATTTGAACTTTCTTTCCGCCTTAAGGATCCATGTAATTTCGAAACTTCAAACACGTATTTCTCGAAATAGCAAAAACTGGACTCATGCATGCGCCTTGTTCTCCAAGCCCCTCATTTGAATTTCGTCAAAATACTTATATCTCGTTCAGGGTTGTACACTTCAGGTTATTTAAATCGTTTTAAATCGTTTTACCACGTAAGATTTTGAAGAGATATCAAGTGCCGTTTCGGTCTAGTTTAGACTTTGTCAGCGGTCCATTACCGAATAGTTCTTTCCAAATGGTCTACCCTCTCTCCATGAGTTCTTCCATTTCCCTTTTAAGAATTCATTTCGTTAAGTGCTGTATCTGACAACAGTTAATAAGCGGATACGCAAGAATGCAAGTTATAAATAAAACAGACGACTACTAGACCTGGTGTCTAGCTTACGTCGCGCGTCGCGGCCAGACTTAAATGCGTCGCGTCGGTTCAGGAAACACTTACGGACCTCACAGTTGCTGAAAGGGGAATACCGAGGGGTCCGAGGGCACCAGAGGAAGAATTTCCCCCTTTTAGACTCCTTCCCTCCTAAATTCCGCACCAACATGGCATGAGGAAGCAGATTAGCGAAAAAAAAACTCACTACAGAGAAATAGTCAAACTCGTCACCACGTCCACATAGTTGAGGTAGATCCCTATCCCTCATAGTGGATCGTCTGGCAGGGCAATGATGCAAGACTTTTCAGATGTGACGCACCGAAAAAAAGGTGCTGTAGCAATACCACAGATGTTAATGGTGTTAATGACAACACCTAAGAGTTGTCGCACATTTTTTTAACATCTTTTTTTTCGGTGCGGTTTCCTCGCTTTTTGATGAGCAATATGCCAAATATTGCAAGCGTGATGGAAACTCTCAAAATCAACTGATGGATTACGCTTCCATAGTTAACATCAGAATCGGTCGGCTGCAATTTCTTGATTGCCGATGAATCTGTAATCGTCAATGTAAAACAAAATGCAAAGCATAAGAAACGTAGATGATTTAAAATATATTTCCCTAACTTTTGTATTGTATAACTCCTGCGTATCTTTTTCGATTCCTGCGGTTCCAAAGAAAGTTTACGAGTGTCTGTTTCTCATTTTTTAGGGCAGGCATGTGGTGTTTGGTCCCTTCAGAGCTAGTCGGCGCCTACGACAATAAAATTCGACTGATAAGTATATTATTTTTTTTTTTTTTCTGTGCAGGAGTAGACGTCTGGGTGGATCCGCATCCGCAGAAACAGGCGGAGAACCACGTGCTGAAAATCATGAGAGACGGCAAGTGCAAATGGCCGCGCCAGAAGCTCATCAAAGTGAGCGAGTCCTACCCAAGCATGACAAAAACATACATTCCATCGTGCACCATACTCTACCGTTGCGGTGACGATACCGGCTGCTGCTCGCTACCCACCCAAAAATGCACCGCCAAAAACTCCACCACCGTTGAGCTCTACTTCACGGTAAGTGTCACCCTTGACAAAAATACCGAAAGTGTGATAAGCAGAACATCACCTGGATTGCATTTTGAAAAAAGGAACCACTAGCATTGCAATGTTGCTAAGATTGTGCAACTTCTTTTGTCTTGGAGGAAAAACCCGATTATCCCTTAATAGTTTCTATTTTACTCGTTAAAAACTGTAAATTTAAGACAAAAATTACCATCTACATTTCAAAGTTTTTCACAATTTCCGCAATTTTATTGCAAAGGATGAAGTTGCACAATCTTAGCATCATTGCAATGCTAGTGGTTCCTTTTTGCAAAATGCAATCCACCAGTGCTTTTTTGTTGTGTTGATTCGGCCGAGATGGTCTGATAAAGAAGATCTTTTTTCTGCTTGCGTTTGATCAACTTTAATTTCTTCTCTTTTCCGCAGACTACAAGGGTGGAAGTGAGAGACGGGAATCGGACAGTGCGCCAAGACGTGGAAAAATTAACTTTCACGAACGATACCGAGTGCGATTGCGTGGAAATGATGCCCCGGGACATGGAGCTCGAACGAATGATTGACCACAAAAAAACAGGGTAAGTGATATCATTGATATCATTCATTTGATATCATTGATTGGTGATTTTTTTTATGTACCTCGCCGGTAGGTTCCGTGAATGACACATTCAAGGGAGAGAAACGTCTCTTCTTCAAGTGTCAAAAACGTCGTAAAGGTTACCAATCTCAGTTACTAAAGGTGAAGGAATACAGAGGCGCAGAAAATGCTCCGGCGCACGGTGCGGATCTAGTCAATGGGAGAGGACAAACTTTGAAAATTTTAAAAGCTAATGACGAAATTCATAAAAAAAATGTCGGGTATTGAAAGTGGTTCCGTTAGTTTCCTTGTGTAATTTTCTTCTGGAAGCTTCCTTTTGAATTTAATAGGTGACGGAAAAAACTTCATGATTTACAGTTTTAGTCAAAAATTTCATGTCCGACCTCTCTCATTGACTCGATTCACTGTGCGGCGAGCAAGCCCGGACTCGCGCGTGGAGTGAGGCGTGAAAAAATTTGTGAGCCTTTGAGAAAATTTTCGATGGAAATGTTGCTGGTTTTTTCTTTTCCCTCCTTTTTGGCTACAAATGCGAAATAAAAACAGAGAAGTATGCCGATTTTCAAATTTTTCTGCTGAACACTGAACAAAATTCTGCTGTTATTATAGTTCTTGTGGAGTGCTGAAATTTTCCAAGAATGGGGGAATTTTAAGGCCGATATTCTGGCTAATTCTTCCTTTGAAGCACTTTTTGCACCTCTAAAGCTTTAATTCCTAAAATCAACCATCAAATTAGAAATAATTTATCGGATTTTTAATGACGAATGATGTAATGTAAATTATTTACCAAGAATCTGCCTCTAGCTGTAACCTAACGCTTCATAACTACGCAACTTATACGCATAGAAACTATCTCTCGAATGAATATCTTACAGAAATTGAAGTACATCGCTGTGCAATTTTAAAACTTCCCACCAAAAGGCATTTTTATATCTTTCAAACTTCCATTTTTGTGGTATCAATTTTCTTTTATTCATATCTCTTCACACCAATCCAAAAGACTATAAAAGCCAATTATTAGAAGATGAGGGAGACAGAGAAAAGAAGGTCAAAAAGTAACGACAATGACCGACACCTTCCGAGCCGAAAGTGACTATTTTAACACTTATGCAGCGTTTGTTGCGGCTCGCGTAAACGAAGGCGCTTCAGTTGCATGCTTCTTTGCATTCTTATTTGTCTTTCTACGGATGCCTTGAGTGAAGAGCAGACCTAGCATTCTAGGTAGTTGCGAGTAGCTACATTACATCGCAAACCATCTAAATCTCTCTTTTAATTAAAAACCTATATCTTTGGTTTTCTATTTTTACTCCCGAATAATTAATTCAAAGAAGCACCCATTTGCTTTTTCGGATATAGCAGATAGCACTTGTTATCTCTCGAAAGATTAGATGGTAAAATCACCGATAATATTTAGCTCATACACTGGAAAAGAAACTCCGGCCGTGGAAGCCGTACTTTAAGGGTTATATGGACATACCGTCCGCTCAGGGCTCAGGGCCAAAAGTTCTAGTAAAAGCACCCGGAGCAATCGAAATTACGGTGGACATTTCGGCCTCTGAGCCCGGAACGGACGGTATGTCTACAGAGCCCGTAACTTTTTTTTCAGTGTTTGTGAACCATTTCGTTCGTTACATCTACATTCTTCTTTATTTAAGTATTTTCTGTATCATCTTACGAGAATCGGACGGTATGTCATAGAGATTTATCTATAAAATAATGTCAAGGGATTCATCTGAAATATTTTTTCATCTCTTTCTGTTTAGATGTACGTGTCCGACGGAATTCAGCCCCCGATACATGTCTAATGGTCTATGTACATGTGACTGTTTTGATAAACAAAATGATTGCCTTCGTTATAAAAGAGGATTGAAATACTTTGAGCACTCAGACAGATTGTAAGTATATGCTCGTTCAAGTACTTACCAATAAAATTCACATTGCCTTCATGATTTTTCTCTCATCTGATCTCTAAGGATGATTTTAATTCCGGTAAATTTTTATCAGAAAATTTGATAAATACTATGAATGATTGGGCTAATAGGGTAACCGTTCAAAGCAAGGATTGAAATTGATCATTTTCAAAGGTTCTGTATTTCATCAAAATTTTCGCAAAGAACACGAATAGAAAAAAATGTCAGTAGTTACCAGTTATTTTTTCTATTTAATTATTCTTAATCTTCTAGAAAAATGTAAAGTGATTAATAATACATTTCTATCAGTATCAATCGTACATCTGGTTACGTTTACCAAAAGATCTAGTGCTGAAGTTTTGGTTACCTAATTTCCCGCAGATCACAATAATTTGGAGTCCAATGACCTGGAGTCAAGAATTGACTTCAAGTAGTCTTCAATTTAAAAAGTAAAGTATGATAGGAATACTGCAACATCGCAAACCGAGATACGTGTTCTGGTAGTTTCACTGTGGATATTCCTATACAAAGGGAGAGCTATGGCTTTCCAATCCTTTTAACCCCGAAAAGCCATACCCCTTTGAGATTGCGTTAAGCGAGTTGTAGACTTTTTTGGAGCTCACAAAAATCAATGTAAACAAAATCTTTAAAATTCCAACCTCTCAAAACTGTTCTTAACAAACTCTAATTTGACATTTTTTCCGAGAATCACATTTTTCTCGTACCTATAATAATCCATCGCTCTTTTGGAAACATGGAGTTTCCTAAATGGGATGTGTGTTTTTTGAGCCTTGCAAGGCCTAAAACTGGTGAACCACGAGAGAGCGGCACAAGGCATTTTCCCCCAAATGGGCAGTTTATAGATTTTTCAAAAGAGGCGGGAAATCGCCCCCTCAATTCGTCGCTATGACGTAAGGGCGTTTATTTATTTGTGTATTGAATCGGTTCAAGTTTTTAGTTTTCGTTCGATTCATGTCGATCGAATACATACCCTCTCGTTACACGCACACTTCCTTTCATACTATTTTTTTGTAACCGAAAAATTCGCTCTCTGCTGCGTCTGCGGCAATTGTTGTTACGAATATGTTGTGCGTGCTGTTTTCAGTTCATTACATACCCGATTCTCTGAAGGCGTTTTATGTGCGAAAGCAATCCGCCTTCAGCTACGTCTGCAGCAATTGTTGTTACGAATATGTTGTGCGTGCTGGTTTCAGGTCATTACATACTCGACCCTCTGAAGGCGAATTGCTTTCGCACATAAAACGCCTTCAGAGAGTCGAGTATGTAATGACCTGAAACCAGCACACACAACATTCTCGTAACAACAATTGCCGCAGACGCAGCAGAAGGCGAATTTTTCGGTTAAAAAAAAGAGTATGAAAGAAAGTGTGCCTGTAAAGAGAGGGCGTGTATTCGATCGACAAGATTCGAACAAAAAATAAAAACGTGAACCGATCAACACCGATCCATGTAAACATAAATAAAAAATGGATCAAGATCAGTAGAAAAGTTGCATTTACTATGAAAATTTCAATAATTTAACCTAACCTAACACTGTTTTTTATTCGGTCAAAACAAATTGTCCGTGTGCTCTGCTAATGTTTGTAATAATGAGTGACTAAGAAGTGGCTTTACGACGGGACACTCATTTAAGGATAACGGATAAAAAATTCCTCAGATGAGGATATTTCCGTTCTTAAGTTCAACTCAATTAGCCATTAACCCATCTTTGTATTGTTTGTATCTGAACTTTATCTCACTAAAGAATTAATTGTTTCATGTTGCAGATGCATTGCAGAAGGCAGATGTGAAAAACCTTTATGCAGATTCGGTGTATATGAACACAAATACGGCCGATGTCCCAAACGACATGAAAAGTTTCAAAAATTTTCAAAATACATCTCATGATTCCTGATTAATGAAAGTCCATTTACCAAAAATTGAAAGTACCAATTTTGAAAGCATTTTAACTGTCTGAAAAGCCCTAATTTTTTGCAATTACATGCGTAACTTACAAAGTATTACACTCGCAATAAATTCATTTGATAAGAGAAAAAATTCTGTGTTTCGTTCTTTTATTTTCATTTTTATTTGCTCCTTTTCAAATTTTCCTTAGCTCTCTAGAAGCTCTCCGAAAAATAATCCCTTTAAAGGTAGAAGGAATCCAAGGGATAATTTTACTATAGACGATTAATGAACATCAGCCACTTCGTTAATTGATTGATTTAACTTCGATTTAGCACAACTAGGCATACCAAGCAATGAATTGAAAGAAACTATCCTCGGCTACCTATAATCCCCACTAAAACGTGCACGTTAAACTAGGTGATCGTTTTTTTGTGTAAAAATATCGCTCATGTTCATGGAAATAAGTAAGAAAATAGTTAAATTACTTCCTGGAAACTATTTTCATTACATCGTTGAAATATAACCTGACTAATAAAGCACTGTTGCAGGTCCTCAATTGGAAATATTTATAAACAAAAAAATGGACGGTGAAGAAAAAGTTTTACAATGAGTCACACGTTTTTCATCCTCTGTTAATTTTTTTTATTTCACAAATTGCACAACATATTTAGGTGATAGTTTAAATTTTAAAAACAAATGTCTTTGACTGCTTAGTACCTGCATACTTCCTAATTTTCAAAGCAGGCGGGCCAGATGAGCGCTCAGGGGTCTGTGCTCGTTGTAACTTGTGCTGGAGGTTGCAAAGGACCCGCACATTCACGGGTTGCATATTCTCTCAAATGAAGGCGGTCCTGTTCAAAAATTCAATCCACGTTCAAAACACAAAGTCCAATTCATGACAAAGGCATTTCAAAACTTTCCACCAATTCTCGTAATAGTAATAACAATTCTTACATTTCGACGGTGTAAGTCGGCAATCACATAACTCGGTTTGTGACGTCGCAGACTTCCTGACATACTTTATTTTTTAAACGGAAAACTACTCAACGGCAATTGTTTAAAATTGCCGTGAATTTCCTTCTCTGTGCGGAAAAAATTCTGCAAAAACTTCAAAGAATGATTTAAATTTGTTCTCCTAAAATAACCTAGAGGCGGAGATTTTCAGACACCGCAAACGAGATATGTGATTGCAGACTTAGGCCGTCGATTGTTGATAGGTGTCAGATGAGAATGTGAAACTAACTGTTCGTACAGAACTTGTAAAAGGGGTCGATTTGGTAGAAAACCTACCAACCGGAAAACCGAGGTACGTGCTTTGGGAGTTTCACCGTCAATGAATCATTTCTCTTCCTTGCATTCAAACAATTCTGATTGTGTTGAAACATGGTGGGATAAACAGCATTAGATAATGTTAAACTTTAAAAATAAAAGAGCCAATGCGCTGTGGATATACATAATTTTACTCACAATAATGGATTACATTGCCAAGGCCTTTCGACTGTACTTAGCCAAATTTCTGCTTGAGTTAGTGTTTTGCTTTTCAGCTTATCAGTAATGCCTTTTAAGATGCCTGTGTACAGCCGAAAGGCCTCGGCAATGTAACCCACTAATGTGAGTAAAATTATGTATATCCACAGCGTATCGGCTCTCGTATTTTTATTTTTAATACTGATTGTATTCTCTGATCGAAATGCAAGGACGATTGACTCAGTGCAAGTATTGAGTGCATTGTACTGTTTTTATGGTCATGTTGGACCCGCGGGCATGGACGCTGTACGGGAAGGTGTTCCAACCACTGCAAGCAGCTGCGACGTCTCCGTAAGGTGTAGCCACTACAACTGCCCCCTGAAATTCAGGGTAATATTTGGAGATCCGGCTGATCACTGTCTGCGCTGCAATTTGAGCCGAGTATCCCATCCGAAGTAGCTCCACCGCTATGGCCCTTGAAAACACAATTAGAAAATATCAACTCGTTGAGTTTTGCTCAAAATGAGAAATTCACGAAGTATACTTGAAAGCGCGGCAAAAAAAAAAAAAAAAAAAAAAAAAAAAAAAAAAAAAAAAAACCACTAAAAAGTCGCATGATGCAACTGGAATTGCATTGATTGGACAACTTGGACTTTTTTTGGATTTGCAACTGGATTTGCATTCGTCGCTGCCTGAGCTGAGCACTGTATCTGGGGCTGAGCGCTAAAACTGACTTTTCGCGGCGCCCAGGCTTACCATGATTGTGGTTAAATGGGCCAAAAATAAGCTTTTAAAAATTTCGGAGCCCAAAGCCACCTCTAGACCCTTGCGCCATGGCCTTAAGGTAGGAATCAGGGTAGTATTGTAACAAGAATCAGGGAAGTAATAGTCGGAATTTTTTGTTTTTAAAATGATTTCTTCTTTGATTACTGACGTTGCCATGTGCACGATTCTCAGTCCCTTGTCTTATTTTTTGTCTCTTTTTTTTTGCATACCAGGTATCTCACAATTTCTCTCTTTAATTGATTTAACGTAGGCAAATTTGTTATTAACATGCGTTCGTCGGAATTTTTAAGTAATTTTGACTTCAGTGTCTTCCCTGAAATATTTATGCTGGCTTTAGGCAATTCTTCCAATGAAAATTGATAATTATAATATATTTGTACGTTAAAATCATCTCTGATTCTTCATTCGAATTTACATTATCCGTTTCAGTATGCGGCACTTCAGGATAAAAACCATGATACAACTCACCAATGCACTTAAAATGGTGCGTTACTGCGTCAGCGACGAGATCAAAGCTATTTACAACTCGTATTTGTACCACTTTTTAGCCTATTCCTCCCTAGGATTTTCAATTTTTTTAAGAAGTGTAGTTTTACGAATAAACACTGTCTCTGTACGTCAAAATTTCCCTCCGATTTTAGTCTTTTCTTCTCGTGTGAAAATTTACTCGCATTAGCTTCTGCTTCATGTTTTAATTTAATTTTCAATAGACTCTATTCGGATATTTTTTCTGTACTCTGCATGAACCGTTTCATCAACTTCACCCAGCCATTCTTCCAACTTATTAATTCTCCTCTGTTTTTGTAGTTTCGTTTAAGTCTAATGCTGTATCATCATCTCTAATCTCGCCAATCATAGTGCGGCTGCGGCCGTCGGTCGGCGCGAGAAACGCATTAACACCTACAAGAAAGCAGGGATACTTCACGCATTGCGGTAAACACTATGCGGTTGCCGGTCAGCGGAAAGACGTATTAGCGCCTACGAGACTGCATGAATACTTCACGCATTGCTCCAAATGCACCGTGGTCGCTGGTTGGCGCGGACCGCATATCAGCGCCTACAAGAGTGCAGGAATACTTCACGCATTCCTAACACACGTGCAAGCAGAGATGGCCGTTGCTACTTCTATTACGTTTTCTATTACTATTACGTTCTAACTCTAGTAGCCCATGACACATACCGGCTTTGTGACTTAGTGTCGGCTCGTGAGAGGCTCATATCTCCACCAAAACAAATTAAAGATAGGTAAATTTACCTACGTGGAAAATATCTTTCGTCTCCTGAAACAAAACGTATGAAAATTCCAATGCCCTCGTTTGAGCCGGCACAGCCCGATATAAACCACTTCGCACCACTAGCCTTACCCGTCATACTTTTAGTTTAGACTCTTAGAAATTTCATTTCTTGAAAAGATAAAGATAAATTCACCGATAAAGATTCACGAATGGAGGTATTTGATAATTTGAATCGTGGACACCAAATTAAATCGTCGCATTTTACCTCCATTCTCATATTTACAAATATTCACGGAGATGAATTCCTGTTTGAACATTAGGCTCGTTCCAAGAATGTTTTCCGCGCGGACATAGTCGATGAGACCACAGGAATTCTTGAATCGACAAGATCAAGTAATTACCGCAGTATTCTATAGATTGATAATAATGTACTCATTGACAGCTCTCGATAATTTCAACGGAAGTAGTTTCGCAGTATGATGTGTAATTTTTTTTCATAATAATGAAAGTTCAAGCACGTGTAACGAATTGCCCACCTCTGTTTAAAGTAAACCTTTTATCAGTAACACCATTGAGAAAGTAACATTTACCCTTTCTTCGAGCTCGTGTGACCGTCATGGCTATTGTCCAACTGGACATCATAAAGGGACGCAAAATCTTACGCAGTCGCCTATTTTATCGCATGAATCTGCTCAACGTGCAAAATATTTTTTTTTTATTATCACAGAAATATATATTATCGATGGAACTCGAGATACCTTTTTGGTACCTCTCCACTCAATAGTATGGATTTTCCCCCTAGTATCAGCCCTTAAGCTTTAAAATCAGGAATTTCCTTTCATTCCTCTTTGTATATAATATATTCTATGTGCATCAGTTTCACTTACGTTGGAGCAAAGCGCATCATGATATCTCCGTTTCCGGTTGCAACTGCTGCTCCAATGCCATTCTCTGCGAATGCACCAGCACCCGGAATGGGTGAATCTCCGACCCTCCTGAGAAAATTAAAGAATTCGTACATAATACAAAAATTCATGTGAGGATACATATACTGAAAAATATTTTTTTTAAAAAAAGGAGAATACTCACACGGAAAGCGAAAATAAGCACGGCCTGTTTTTCGACCCGGTTTCACACATGACGGTACTTATCATCGACATTAATTTATAATTTTTTTTTTTTTCATAAAATGATTGAATTTTTTTAGTTCCTCGGTAAGGTTGAATACACTTACTCACCCTGGAATTTTATTTGTAAGACCGTTGGTAGAGGTGCCAGCTGCAACATTACCCTTGTGGTCAACCGATATCATTCCAATCGTATCATGATTCTCGTCATCAATCATCTCAATTTCGTTCACTGATGCGGCACTTCCTTTTACACGTGGAAGGCTATAGCGTATGGAGTGGTAGGGTCCACAATTATTTTTTGGATCAGGACTCACATTCTAGAACAAAATACGTTTTGTAAAATTAGTGCGGGTAGAGCTGTACCTGTTCACGTGCTTAAAATGACTAGTATCTTATGGGCCGCTTTTTACAAGGATTTTCATAGCATTTTAAGTGAAATTGCTTAGCTTGGTAAGCCACATTGTTGTATTGGATTTTTCTTGCTTTACAATAAAATTAACGTATCTACGCTGAAAGGGAATATCCAAAAATGAATTGAATCAAAAGAAACCACCCACGTAGGTTGTGGGTGTTTTATATAAGTCCTCTTGATTTTACTAAATATTACTAGATCTGTTACAAAAACATCTTGCGTCTAACTTTTCACTAAATGCGCCGTAATATGTAGGCAAAAAGTCAATCTGGCCCCTAAAAATCTTCAATGGCGCCTAAAAATGGGGCTTGGTGCGCCACATGGCTCCTAAAAGGCTCCTTAAAGGTGAGTTTCGAACACTGGTTGTTTAGTAATAACTTGGAGAGAGTAAAAGAGTACCAGTGCACCTGCCAGTAGTTTGGTTGGCATTTGTTTTCCTTCCAACGGCGGTGGATTTCGAGTGAGTAGTCTGTGCTGAGGTTCTCAGCGCGGAATCCCATTGCCAAGGCGAAATCAGTAGCTTGACTCCCGACTAGCATTGAATGAGAAGTGTAATTCAAAACAAACCGAGCCACAGAAACAGCGGACTTCACCTGACGCAACGCCCCTACAGCTCCTACATTCATTGAGGATCTGGAAATACAAAGTTCTGTAGATGCGGCTTTTTACTATCCACGATGAGCGCGGTTCCTAGTGTCGAAGTCGGACCGCACGAATTGGACTACATTTTGCGATAAGAAACTACAATTTCCGGGTCATACATACAGGGTTATTCAAAAGTCACGCACCACTAGCCTTGAGGGGGGGGTGGCAATTTGAAATTTTTGATTTGCCTCCCGCCCCCTCCCACGAGGGGATCAAAAACTGGAAAGTACCTAAAAATGTTTCCCCCTCTATATAAGGGAAAACGTCTTCAACAGCAAATCGATATTATGATTAGAACTAAAGTTATGGCCAGTGGTGCGTGACTTTTGAATAACCCTGTATAAAGATACCAGGGTCGGACTGGCTCGCATCTGAGGGCGTAGACCCTTGGCTGGTTAAAGGGGCGTAATGTGATTTTTCCTGTTGGGACATCCCCTTCGTGGAGAGGGGTTCAAAAAATTTTGGCAAAGCAGCACAAGTTCACGCTATTTTCAGGTTCAAAGTTTATTAATCATACAGATTAAAAATTGTAAAATTGAACGTATTGAAGTGACCGACAAACTTCTGAAATTAAAGAAAACAAAAAAAAATTAAAGCCACTAGACGCATCCAAGCATCATTATTTCCAAAAGAACCGTGTCAGTGCTGCGATTTACACGAGCGTAAGACGTGGGTCTAAAAATCCATCCTAAAAAAGAATCAGGCAAGAACCTGAAAAAAGAAGGAAGAACGAGTATCAACACTGCTGACGACAAGAAAAACGTATTCGGGCCTCTTTTTTAACTTTTCTCCCGAATCTGAGCGACACCTCATTGGCAGCATATGGCAGGGCATCGAGAACTCACGCTTCCCGTCATCGCGCCTTCAATTTTTCAGATGCAGCACGGACGTCCATCAAGTACGAATAGTTGTATCTCTGCGCCGTCGTTATTGCGCATTCTTTCCCTCGCCTTTTTTCCATATTGTGTTTGTTTGCGTTTGTTTTACTCGTAATGGTGCTTCAAGCACTACATGAATAACACAGTCGAGGGTAGGAGAGATGTGCTCGGGCCTCTTTCTTAACTTTTAACCCGAATCTGAAAGACACCTCATTGGCAACATAAAGCAGAGCATTGAGAACTCCCGGTTCGCGTCATCGCGCCTTCAATTTTTCAGATGCAGCACGGACGTCCATCAAGTACGAATAGTTGTATCTCTGCGCCGTCGTTAACGCGCATCCTTTCCCTCCTTCTATTTCCATGATGTGTTTGTTTCCGTTTGTCATATTTTTACTGTTGCTTTAAACTAGAGCAGAGCATTGTGAGTTCACGACTCACGCCATCGCGTCTTACATTTTTCATATGCAATGTGGACATCCATCTTGCGAGAATAGTTGTATCGCGTTTACACTTTGGATGTCTCTTACTTTTGAATTTCGAAATAAATTAAGGTTAAGTTTGCCCGAGATATGCTATGATATGTCCAAATCAATAGTCATTTTGAAAAGGAAGAAATATGTTTAAAGGTCTCTCATGAGGTCTATAAAGTGTGCGTATGCCTAAAAATCGAACCGGCTATCGTTTCTACGGGAGTTACACATAGAGAATGAAAAGAGGAAGATAAATTGTCTGTATGTCAACAAAAAGGTGTCAATTTCACAGAAAAGTGTTTACGCTTCAGAAAGTAGTTCTTGGACCTCTGTTCACCACTATGCGAAAAAGCATCTCTCTTTACTCCTGACTCTCTCTTCTTCCGTTCATTTAAGACATTTTCCGCATATATTCTTGGTCGTCATTTTTTTTCTCTTCTTATTTTGCTAGAGGGGCGCGTTTTTGGCGTGCCAATGGGGCGTATCTGCCAATGGCAGATTTGCCTTATGGCCAGTCCGAGCCTGAAATATACCTACCTACATAGGGAAACTAATGGCATGTATAAGTCGTTTCTAAAAGAGTCAGAAGTTGTAGTTATTATTGCAATATATGGTTCAATTGATCACTGAGGCCCGATTCTATCACCTCTTGTTGCGGATTTATTCTCTGGTTAAAATTTGATAAGCACACTGAGTATACCTTTTAAATTTCAACCGGCGATTAAGACTCTTAACTCCAAAAGCCTTAAAATTACTCAACATGGCGTTAAAAGGTCTGCATTAACAAGAAGTTTTTGACCAGTGGTAATAGAACCGGCCCTAAGGCAGCGAATTAAGGCCTGTTTGATTACCTTTTGATAGATTGTGAGCGCTGATTTCAACCGCAGACTTCGGTGGTGTGCATTGCACTAATCTTAATATCTAATTTGAAAAATAGAATGAAATTGTGAATCAACCACTGTACTAATTGCGAGGGGCGTTGGTTCATTTGAAAGGTGTTGTTCTCAATGCTTCGGGAAAACTATAAATTATTTTCTGGGGTTCGTCCCCGATTTTTAAATCCCTAAAAACTCATAAATTGGATGAGGGGAAGTGGGGGTTTTTTGTTTTTTGTTTTTCGGCAAAGTTTTGTTGCTACGCATCTTACTTTACTGTTTGCTGTCTTTTTATCAGCTGTTTTCATTCAACAATCATCATTAAGTGAGGTTACTTCCAACACTCAACTGCCGTCAACTTACATTTTTCTTTTCCCGCGTTTTTTTTTTTACGGTTTTTCATGATTGGTTCCATCTTTTTCCTATTGCCAATTTTTCCTCATTAAGGCAATAACCTCCAAGTTTTTTTTCTCATTTCCGATCAGAACTTTTCACGCTGTTTCTTTTCAATGTGTATAAATATGTTTATTATTAATTTCCATTTTCATTTCATCCTTTTTCTTCTGATTTATTTTTTTTTAATTTAAAAATTGAACTTTTCAGTTATGATTTTGTTAAAATAATAATAATTTTTACTAATTTTAATTTTAAATTTAACAGTTGTTATGAGTGAAATTTTCAATGACCGAGGCGGTCGTCCTCCAAAACGTGGTCGCGTTTTCCAGAATTCTTCGCATGTTCGTTTAGTGAAGCAAGAACTTAACTCTGTTATTAGTATAGAAAATCAAAGTTTCATTTCTTCATTTCGGAAGTATAAAATTGATGATCAGAACTTTGATGAAAATTTTGTTACCAAATTTGCAGTCGGTTCAATGAATATAATTTGTCATCATTGTGATGCTCGCCATTTTCAGGGTGAAATGTCCAATGGTCATTTTAATATAACTGCTGCCAAAATGGCTTAATTTCTTTACCGAGTATTCGGACAAATACCGATTTGAAATCATTATTTTTATATTCTCCAAATTTCATAAAGCATATCAGAAATTATAATAGTGCTGTTGCTTTTGCCTCTTTCTCTGCAAATCGAATTGATATTCCGGGTGATGGACCTTATTGCTTTAAAGTTCAAGGATCCATATATAGGTAAGTTTATTTAATATTTACCGTTACGTAACGTACTTTTTTCAGTTTCTCAGTCCGTCCCTCCCTCCTTACCACCCCTTAACGCATCCGGAATGCAGCTGCATTCCGGATACTGCATTTAAATCTTTCCTCCTCTGTTAGTTACTATTTGGACTTTGTCTATTCCGTTTTGTTTTTAAACATTTTAAAAATAAACAGTTCAGAGAAAATAATAAGACTTAAAATTCTG